CCAAAGATTTCATTTTCATAATCTTACCAATAAGAATTAAACTTAAGTAGTCGGGTACGAAATAGTTCATTCTCGAGATATAAAATATACCCGTTGTTAATCGAACTATGTTTTTTGTTATCAAAAAACAATCCAACCACCATATAATTTGTAAAATCTCTTTGATAAAAAAAAAAAAGAGATAATGAAAGATTAATTCAACTTAACCACTAATTAACCATCCTAATAGCCTCTCTTAAATTAAATTAGAGCTCATTAACCTCCATGCAACCTAATGAGTTACGACACCCTTTTATTGGGTGTTGAATTATACGTCTAAGAATTCACGAGCAACAACATTATAATTAACCTAAGATTATGTATTTTAAAATAATAATTGAAGTTTGATTAGGGTTTTTCTTAATTAAGAATACAAGATGATGAATAGAACAAATCGAGTTAAAGTTAATGAATTTTCTTTTGGGTTGAATTAATTATTTGAAATTGGATTTTTGCTCCTTCTTTTGATCAATAAAGACTAATAAATTTTGTTATACGACATGATATTACATTTGTTAATTGATCTATACACACACACACACGAGTACATCTATATATATATATATAAATTATGTCATATATCCCGATATTACATTTGTGCCAAATATCTCTATATAAAAATGTCTTTAAGATTTACTTCATTCTTTCTTTAAATTATTCTTTTTTTAAAGGTGTATAAAAATGATGTGAGAACTACCGAACCTTTGACTATTGCTTAACTAATCGTTTTTTTATTGAATCTATTTGTTAGAGATTAGGTAGTTTTTTCTTCAATAAAAGACAAATTTTACTTGTTTATTTTCGGTATATTGAGTTTATTATTGTCTTATCTAATACTAATAGTTATTAGTCTTCACCAGCGTTTCTCATCAATTTTGTCTACAGTTTATTTTTATATTTTCGTTATCAGTAGTTATTCTCTTTTATTATAATTTTCTAATGCAATATTTTATTATAATTTATTAGTATATTTGGCTATTAATTATTATTATATACGACTATCTATGATTTTTAATTACAATTATTAAATATCTGTCAATATTTAATAAATAAAAATTTAAAATTATAGATAGTCATATACAATGTCGAATGACAGTTACAGCGATAATAAATAATACATAATCTCACTAACCATTAATAATGAAATATAATGATACAAAATGTAATCAGGTAAATCATTATGGCAACTATTATAATGAATTGTTATCGTACATATCAAAAAAATATTGGCACCTCAAAATATTTGTTTTAAGAAAAAAAGTTAGTTTATATATATTTTTTATTCAACTGTTGATACTTCAATTAAGGGAGTCTGACAAGAATAAAATGTTGTTTCGTTCAAATACATCATAACTCGTTAAACGAGATCAAATTTAATTAATTAGAACATTATTAATGTACAAATAAATTAAGTTATTGATTCGTTGAATCAATTATTATAAATCAACCACCATCGACAAGACATCTTACGATATCATGATGTACCCATTCCTATGGCCATTCCTTCAATACTTCTGGTTCTCGGGAGTCTCCTTGTAGGATAATTGGCCAAAGTGTGACCCGTTAGCCCATAAGTCAATACTGTGACGAAGCGGCTCTTGCTCACCCAACACGATCGTACGAGGTCACAATTCACCAAGACGATCATCCGGGGTGAACAAGAATTGGGGATCGGATGCGGCAAAACGATAAACTCTACATTTTTAATGAGATTTAAATTCGTAATCCCACACATATTGATAGTGATGCCTTGAAATACTTAGGTTAAAAATAGTAACAAAAATTAATCACACCGCATTTATATGATAATTAATTGTAACTATTAATAATCCTATACATCGTGATGTATTGGTACCCAAAAAATTCATATATATATATATATATGTTGGTAAGAAATTACTTCAATATTTAATAAAGAAATAATCATTCCAATTAAAAAATTTAAAACCAATCAAATACAAATTAGAGAAGGCTCAAGGTCATTTTGTTTATTCTTTGGGTCTACAATAGATGTGGTAGGCCTGGATGCATCATATAATTTCTCTTGCTTAACATTGATGAGGTGGCAATTACGTCATTATATTTTGAAAAATGTGATAGTCATGTAATATATTTTGTTAAATTTACTTAATAGATTATATAAAACATTAAATAAAGTATTAATTTTAAATTTGCCACGTGGCAATTCTGGAGAGAGCATACATATTTGCAAAACTGAGGTCGTAAATTATTTTATTATAATATATTTATTCTTGAAAATTACGTAAGCCCTAGGATTTTCCTATATTTTCGGGGAGCGGAGGCCAGATGGGCCCACATGATAATAGCCTATTATCTAATTGCCCTGTCCTAATTAATTACTTATTTTGAAAAAGAAAATTAAATTTTCTGTGATTTTTCTCGTCCTTTCTTTTCTTTTCCCTCGTCAAGGAGGGAAGGAGGAACTTTGATTGTCTTTACAGGAGTGCCGTTCATGGGGTCAGGTATCGTTATAGTCTTCGGTTGATTTTTAATTTATATTTTGAAGAAGAAAATTTGTTTCTCAATTTTTGATTTGATTATATTCTGATGATTTATGTTGGTTTAGTGCTTGTTACGATCTTGGTACCAAAACTTATCAAATTATGTTAGAAATTTCTGATCTGAATTCTTGAAATTCTTTTAACAAGGATTTGGTATTGGAAGTATCTAAATTCGAACAAGTTATTGAACTTCGGATTGTTTTGTGTATATGTTTCTGTACTTTAGTTTTTTGCTTTTTCTTTATCGTGTTTGTACAGATACCTTGAAAGTTCCCGCTGAACTTGAATCAGCTTTGCGGCTGAAGACCTTGCAGTACTTTGTAACACGGAGGCCGTGGCTTGGTAAGTTTTTATTTTCATTTTTGCAGTTCTTTTTTGTGTACGCAGATTCTAATATGCTGTTATTTTCTTGCCCTAATTTTGATTTCGCTTTCATTTGTTTTCCTTTTTGACGGGTATTTTTCTTTTAGATCTTTACGGAATTAATGTTAGGCCTGTTGCACCTTTTGGAAGTTTAAGCAGAACACCTTATTTTGATCCAGCACTGATACACAGGTCCTTGCCT